ATGGCTGGCTGGGGAATTCTGGGAGTTGAAGTCCACTCATCTTAAAGTGGCCAAGTTTGGACAACACTGGCCTAAACCCTTACCTGCAGCCCTTTCCACCTCTAAGACACGCTCAGCATAGCTGGCAAGAAAATAAGGCTGCTAAAATTAGGACTTTTTAAGCAACAGAAGAAGTGTCCCTTGTTTATCAGGCAACAGACTTTAGAGAGTTGGTTTTTTAGTCAAAAGCTTGTAAAAATGCAGAATACCATCCTCAACTCACAGACCAGAGGAACATGATGTCTACATCCTGGCCAAACAGAAAATGCGTGGTAAGAGGGCCATGGCAGAAGACATCAGATCGGTTCCCAGACATCAGTTTTCATAATATGGTTTCTTTAGTCTGGTGTAGGGTGTTATATGAATCCAGGCGTTCTGCTCAGTAAACGGAGGTCTATGGGTTAGCAGCATTCCCACCGATTGTGGTTAATGTAGGGGAACAAAACACGGCCAGTGGCTAGATTCATGCACTGCATTTAACTATGGTTTACGTACTAAATTGTAATGGCTGGTTTTCCACATAAGAATAAGATGGGTTCCCAGCCTGATCTGAGGCACACATAAATTATGTATAGCTTAATGCCAAGGAGTTACTCACTGAGGACAACCAGATAAATGTCCAAATAGCCAGCTGAACCAACTCTGAACGTTTAACTGAATTATTTTCTAACGTGTGCATTTTATAGCGGGTATGTGGCAACCAGTTCCTATGCAAGCTACTTTTGACACCTGATGGCATCCAAAATCACTGTCATAAATTTGGGGGCTGCAAATATTTCAAAAAAGATCCAGAAGGAGTGCCCTGGTATTTGCATGAATGTAGTATCACTCTGCTATACATTAAAGTTGCCCAACTTTTTTTCAGGCTTCTGCAGAAACCTGAAACAAACAAAAACGACCACTTCAACAAATCTACTCAAGCAAGTTGTTGTGATTCTCAAAACAGTTGCACCTTTTTTGCAGGCCCACATAGAAGCCAGAAAAAAAGTTACCTGTTTTAACGAACAGCAGAAATTTATAGCATTCATGCAAGTACACCTTCTGGATCTTTTTTGAAACGTTCACAGCCCTGCTGAGTTTATTTTCAATGAAATGTATACTGAAATCATCTTCCAGTATGTCTGGAAACCAGATTCACTATCATCCGGTTAAATGCACAAAGCCACTAGAGAAAAGTCAACTGCAGGATAGAGATACACAATCAGCAAACATAAAGGCAATCGTGCCCTCTCCTGGACAACCAATGTTACTAATCTTCTATGGATCAAAAAGATTTCTCAGGATTGGCTGTGTGCTGCATAATTACTGACTATGATAAGATTGATAGAACAATCAGTAAAGTAGTGCTAACACAGAGAGGAGTTCCGTCTCCTAATACTAGAAACCAACAGTGATTGAATGAAGTGGATCAGTAACAGGTCTAGGTCAAACTCAAGAGACAATTTCATGGCCCACATGGAATTCTCAACTGTAAGGTGGCAGGCTAAATTTACTTCCAGGGTTTTTTAAAACCCCTAATTAACCAGTAAAATTCATCCCCACAAGACAGGGTGAAGACCATTCCGTTGGACGGCCTTCAAAGGGGATCAGATCAATTCACAGAAGACACAATAGACAATCGTTCCTGAAGGCTCACTGCAACACCTGGGCTGGGGGCCATTTGCAGGAGAACAATGGCGAATTATATCTCCATTCTGCTTGTGAGCACCGCAAAGCATGTGGCTGGCCACTATGAGGAAACACGTTGGACTACAACGGATCTCGCCTTATCCAGCAGGACCTGTTCTTATGTTGAGGGAACATAAGGGCCAGTTGCCCCACACATGAAAAGTCTACACATACGCACACACAAATGAGCAGCTGGATCAAGAGTTGTCATTAAAGTCGGTAAAATTCACTTTTTTAAAAAAAACAAACATATCTTTATATTCTAAAAAGGAGAAGATGGAGCAACCAGTTTCTATATGGTCTAGATTTAATGATAACCCTAAGGACTGAATGAATCTTATACTGATAATATACAGATCTTATTCTTCTCTTTTTCCGAGTATCTCTTTTTCCTCCATTATGTTCGACTTACTTTAATCACTGTATGGTATGTAGGGTTTCTTTTTAACTGTACCATTGTGAGAAAAATGAATCTTTGGGTGAAAAAGACAAGTTTTTAGAGGCCTCAGATGA